GTACAAGAAGAAAGGAGAGTTAAAAAGTGATTCGGAGATTGGAAGGAATAGGAAAGAAGTTAGAGATCATGCAGAAGACAAAGTGACAATACCACCCTTTTCCTAAAGAGCTGGAGGATACATGAAGAAATTGGGTTACACAGGGCTCCGTGTGCACTGGTGGCACATCCCTGTTTGCATGCAAAGGTTTGTGCTATGTTGTTCCAGCTTTTGAGTCACTGTGATTCTTGTTCAGCACAGAAATATGTGCCTGAGTCATTGAGTAGGGCATGATCTATCTTTATAGATAAACGTTTGCCCTTAGTCCCACTACTCTGGATGTGATTTTGGAATTCCTTCTCAATATCTGCTTTGCCACCTTCCAATGAGTATACAACCAACTGCAGAGACGCATCCTTCCCGGTGGGCAACTTGTACCAGGACATGGCAGTGACTACATCTAATGTTCCAGAACAGTTCAGAGTCACAGGGTCTCCCACTTGGATGACTGTATCTGGTGACTGCTCAACAGCCCAGCCTGGAAGACAAAGGAAGAAATGTGGGAAGTGAAATGCCTTGAAGAGGACACAAAAATATATCCATGAAGTATGTTATGGGATTCAGTGGCATCTCGATGCTAGAATGCTGAGGGACAGTGTCCTGTTTCTCTGAAAAGGACATATAGGAGAAAACAAACAAACAAACAAACAAACAGTTTCCAAAACAAATGTAAGTCTGTTTTGAAAAATCATGACTTCAGGACTCTCAGTGGAAGTATTAAAATGGGACAGAAAAAACCCCAAATTTGTAGGGCTGCAAAGTGTTCTGAATTAAGAGGTTGAGGAAAAGTTCACCTTGTTCATTGCCCATCCCCTCTGGAAACCTTGGGGAAAGGACACTACCAGCAAATGAGCACTGTGCTGAAGCAGCAGCTGTGGCTCCAGTGCAGATGTTCAAGAGGAAGGGAAGCTCACTTACCCAGAGGAAACAGGATGGCCACAAGGAACCAGTGGAAATCCATAGGAAAAGGGCACCTCCTTCCAGCAACCTGCCCCTGGTGACAGCACAGACACAGAGATGTGTACAGAGGAAAGGCTGAGGGGAAGAGATACATCTCTTTGTGGGTGGGCAGGGGAGTGGGAGGGAGTCGGAAATGTGAGAAGGCAGTTGTCTGTCTGGGAACAGTGGGGAATGACACCTGCACGCAGTCATGAGGTGCATGTCCTCTGCTCCACGGACTTCCTGCTGTGTGTGTGTGTGTGTGTGTGCGTGCATGGTGGAGTTAAGTGTTATCCCAGGAGCATGATGGGGCTGTGTGGCAGCCTGAGTGTGTTCATGGCACAGGGATGCACAAAGAGGCAGCAAATGAAGGGAAGAGAATGGGACCTCAGCAATGCACATTTGTGTCTGTGCCCAAAGCTTTTCACCTCTCCAGACACCCTCAGACACACAGACTCCCAACCCTGCAAGCTGCAGAGTGGAATCTTCTCTGCTTATCCCAGTCAGGCCTGACATGTTTCCCAGGTATGGAAAAAGTGCTGACCTGTCTTCCTGCTGTCTGTTGTGGCATGACAGAGAGGAGTTGTGTACCTCTTCTTCTCCTACTCCACTGGGGGATCTCAAGGAGAGAAAATGCTGTCTTTGGCTCTGCCCTGGGACTCCCTCTTGAGAGACTGCACCCCAGGAGATTTCTGAAGAGTAGGGTGTGCACCATGGGATATACTGGTACAGACTTTCCTTCTCCTTGCTGGAGAAGAACTGATGCTCTCCTGCTCTCCTTATCCAACAGGACAAGAATGAACAAAACTGGAGAAAAAACCAAATTCTTCTGGACACACAGCCTTGTTCACCAGCCCAAGGCAGTGGGAAATCACTGGTGGCAGCAAGAGAAGCTCATAGTTTGTGTACACTGGGTAGGTGTACAGAGGTCTGACTGAGACACTGCATATTCATGCTGTTCTGTGGGCCAGCAGGGCACGGCAGTGTAAGGTTGTCATGGACTTTTCAGAGAACAAGTTCCCCTGTGTCCTTTCAGCAGAAGGCAGCAGTAACGCCTCCATCTCCCAAAGCCTCTGTTGCAGGTCTAGGTGTGTTCCATTGCATTCATTTCCACCAGCTGCCTACAGAAGATTTTTGAAAGATCCCAGATTGCTCCAAAGAAAGAGAAGGGAGAAAAGAGCAAAGAGAGTGGGCTGCATTGTGCAGGCATCCAGAAGAAACCGCACACCGTCCTCACAACACCAGCAGCACTTCAGCTGAGAGGAGGCTGTGCTTGATCTGTTCATCTAAGCCATGGATGGATAGAACACTCTATCCTGTTGGAAAACTTCTGTTAGTTGCACAGCTTGCTAACACAGTCTGTAATTTCTATAATATCTTTGGGAAAGGTAAACTGTATGTGGATCAAGGGGTGTAACGCATTGATCCTGACCCAGAGAGCACTGTACATGGAGGAGTTAGTGATGCACATCGCAGTCAATGGGAGTAGGCACAGGCCTGTGCTGTGCTGCACACAAACCACAAACCTTGGCTACATAACAACCACAGAGGAGTCGTTGCAACAGAGGAGCATGTGGGCAGCTCCCACTTGATACTGGCTACTTTGACACCTGCCTGGACTTGCCTTTATCTAAAGGTGCCCCAGGAACTTCTCACACAAGCGTCCTTTCTGTTTGAGAGTGAGAATAAACTCTCAGCATCTGAAAAGAGGAGGAAGGGAAGGCAAGGAAGCAGAGGAAGTAAGGAGTTCGAAGTGATCTCCCTGCCTCATGCAGCACCCAGAAGGAGGAAAGCAGGTCCTGTTTGTGAAGGGAGAGGTTTGTGCTCAGCTCCCTCAGCAGCCTAGTCACTGTGTTTCACTCTCAGCACAGTAATACGTGCCAGAATCATTGAGAAAGGCATGCTCTATTAAGAGGGTGACACTGTCCCCTTCTATCTTACTGGTCTTGAAATGGCTCTCGAGATCCTTCTCAACAATTGCATTACCACCTTCCACTGCAGAAGCCACAAAGGTCAGCCTGGAGTCCTTCCCTGAAGGCAGCCAGTACCAGAACACAGCTGTGCTGGAGGATTTCTTCTTGGAACATCTCAGATTCACAGAGTGGCCTTTTTGTATCACCATGTCCGGGGACTGTTCCAGAGCCAACACTGGAAAGGCAAAGGAGGAGCATTAAAGAGAAGGCCAAAATGGAAAAGTGTGAACTAGGCCCTGTGGGTTGGTAGAGAAGAGGGTGAGAAGGAACTAGGGAGACATACAAGGCATGGACAGCTCCTCAGATCAGCAAACAAGTTCCCAGTCTCCCTCCAAAAGGCAAGACACATTCCTGGGAAGTTTGTGTCCCAAAAAAGGGGGCTGGACAAACAATTAAAAATAGACCACCATTGCAGGAGATTTGAGGATTCCTTCCCATCTCGTTCATTGCTCATCCTCAAAACTTTGTGGAATGAAACACTGGCAGCAACTGAGTACACAGCTGGGAGAGCAGCAGTGGGATTGATGGAGGTGCTCAGGAGTGAGTGGAGTTCACTTACCCATAGGGACCAGCATGGCCACAAAGAAACAGCAGGGAACCATGAGGGGAAAGCCCCTATCCTGTCAGCAAGCTGCCTTTTGTAGCTGTGCAGAGATACGTGAGGAGAGAGCACTGAGTGAGGGTGAGACATCCTGAGGTGGGGCAGGACGAGAAAGGTGAGAATGGATTGGCTGTCTGGGAACACTGGGGAATGACGCAAACCCTCACAGGAAAGCATAAAGCCTTCAGAGATGCAGTGGGTTGGGCGGTGGGGAAGGTGGGTGTGGTGGAGAGGCAAGAAAGGGGCTGTATGAACAGAACGATGCTGAAGTTGCCTGGGGGTCAGAGTGTGCAAGGCAGAGGAATGCTGAGAGCTCCCCTTCTCCTTCTGAAGGCCTTGAGAGATGAAGGAATGAGGTATGAAGGGCACACATCGATCCCTTGAATTTTCCCATGAGATTTCCCTGTCTTCCTGCCCCACCAACCCTCTTCCCACCGAGCTCTGTGATGGCTCTTTTTTTCTGTGTGGTACTGTGAGCACAGCAAATAACATCAGTGAGAGGGAGAACTAGGAAAGACACCCCAGCCGCTCAGGCATTTCTGATTTACTCAAGGACTTTGCAGTGAGAGTGGTAGGAGAAGAAGGTAAATACCTTTGATAGAGGCCAGGGACAGGCAATGAGATGGCATGGGAAGAAAGAAAGAAAGCATCTTGTGTAGACCCAAGGGAGAGGCATGAGGGAGAAAAGGTGCTGAGGACTGGGGTCAGGGTTACCTTTCCCTCCACTTTCCTTGCTGACAGGACATAGCCTAAGTTCCTCCAGAGATGGTGTCTCCCTGGGACCGTGTGCCAGGCTGGAGAACCCTGGCTGTCTCAGCCTGGTGCTGCCTCTGGGACAAGGGCTTCTGGTAGTTCTGCTTTGGGAGCACATTTCATCTGGCAAATCTGAGGCCTGCTCAGGGACTGAGACCATCTGTGTCATTCCCCTCTGCCCTGGGAATCCAGCTGTCCAAGGTGATTTGCTTTCCTGGCAGGACTGAGCTTGTCCTCCAGTGAGGTGTGGAGGGTGCCACTGGCATAGAGCCAGTGAAAGCAGCTGTAAGGTGACATTTCATTCACTCGTGCTCTGCCAGGGACTTCTCTGCTGCTCTGCTCACCAGCTGAAGAGATCCAGGCCACCGCCATCCTGTCCACTGCGCCCTCCGGTGTTTCTGCTCTGAAGAACCTCCACGTGGTCTTTCCTGCATGGGGGGAAATCTGCAAAGGATGGCTGAGGAGCCTGATGAGCACAGGGATGAACGTCTGGGAGACTGGCAAGGGTGAAAGGAACACAGGGAATAAATGACAGGTCTTCACTCTGGCAACACCTCTGGCTCTCCTTTCCCTCCTCCTCCTTCTTCCTGTGCCTGCAACTCTACCTAAGGACAGGGGAGGAGACTCAAGCGAAATGGACTAGGATCGCTGGTGGTACTTCTGTTCATGATGCTGGGAAGGAGAAGGCACCAGCCTTCTGTGTGTCACCCACCTCAGTGTTCTTCTGGAGAAGAAAGTTCATTGAAAGTCATGAAATAACTTGTATGCAAGTGCTAAGCAGGAGACAGGATCAACAGGTGGAGACTGCGATATAGTGCTGTGTTTTGGATTGAGTATGGGAACAGTGTTGATAACACAGTTGTAGTTGTTGCTGAGCAGTGCTTAGCCTACATCAAGGACTTTGCATTTTCTCATGCTCTGCCAGTGAGGAGATGCACAAGAAACTGTGAAGGGAGCTTTTCCAGGACATTTGACCCAAACTGACCAAAAGGATATTTCACGCTACAAACCACCGTGCTCAGTATTTAAACTGCTGGGAGGTGGCCAGAAGACACAGATCACTGCTTTGGGACAGGCTGGGTATTGGTCAGTGTGTGGTGAATGACTGTATTGGGCATCACTTGGGTTTGTTGAGTTTTATTCCTCTCCCTCCTTTCCCAATCATTTACTACTAATATTATTATTACTGTTGTTGCTGTGATAAGGATGATGATGATGATGATGATGATGTTTGCATTTCCCATGACTTTCACCTGTTTCCTGTTCTTCTCCACCTCCCACTAGGGTGCTCCCTAGACTTGAAGGGCTGCTCTGAGACAGTCTGTTTGCTAGATGACCTCTGAGTCGTGCATCAGAAACACCCGATTTGCCTTCATTTGAAATGAGTTTTCTCCATGAACAGGGAAAGCACCCTGGAGTTCTGAGCTTCATGGCAGACTCTAGCAAGGGTGTCAGACAGGCTGTTAGGAGAACAGGAGGGACTTGGCTGAGGTACGTTCACTAGACGTCTGCCTTCAAGGACTTAGGAACACAAGAAGCACAGGAACTGAGACCCAGGTCCTTGACCATGAGCTTTGGGAAGAGTCAGGAGTCTCCTCCTGCTGACTTAAGCAAGCAGCATAGAAAACCTCAGAGATCTTGTTCTTCTAGGGGATAACCAACCAGTGCTATATGATGGATTTCCTGTTGTTGCCAATAACTGGCGAGTTAAAGATCAGAGTAGATTAAATAAGTAACAAAAGAAACAAAAGACAAATGACCAAGATAAAGGCAGGGATGGTCAAGCTTCCTGATTCAGATGTGCCATTGCTGGATATTCTTGAAATTTGGATGGATACTAAACTAAATGTGAAACCCTGTGAGAAGAAGGAAAGAGAAGCAGTCCTTCATAGCCTAAGTGCTTTCTAATATGGAGTTAGACAGAAACAAATTTACCTGCAAATATTGGTCTGTCTCAATGCCAATGGCATGTTTTGGACCAAGAAATTCTAAATCCACAGGGAGATCAAATTATACACCCTTGTAGACTAGAAATTCTTCCTGTACTGCTTAGTTATGATGACATTGGATAGCTTTGGTAAATTTTGCCATGCTTAGTCCTATTATGGACCTTTTTGCATTTTCACTGGAAGCTTCTAATCCTTAATTCTTTCACAGGATAGAACATCCTTCTAAGAAACCTGGTCATTGATACCAGCTGAAAGGCCAACAAAATCCATTCAGCCCCATGGAGAAGTTGCTGACCTTGGACAGGAGCTTTAGCATGAAGGAAAGTTTCCATCTGGAGAGTGCCACTTTGGGTGTCAATCCTCCAAAGCTCTTGAAACATTGATCAAGAAATAGAGCAGAAAGAGTATTCCTATTTAGTCTCTCATGCTCTTCAAGCATCTCAAAAAATATGGCTTCTGTTTAATGTCACTTGAGAGTATCCCACGTCTTTCAGGAGTTAACATGATGAAGTTGGCAGCTGCCTGGAAAATTAAAAGGATTATTCATCAAATGCCTAAAGCTTTAGCAAACTTTATGTCAGGACAGAAATCCTCAACCTGCTCCAGAAGGATTTCAGAAGATCTCACTACTTGTGTCCACAGTCTTATTTTTCATAGACAATACATTCATAAACATCAGCCTTATCCTGAAATTCTTCTGTGGCAAAAATGAGTCTCTGTGGAACATTCCAAAGATGAATAGAAAGCATGCTTTCGTACTTTGTCTGATACTTTTCTTAGAGATTAGGATAGAGAAATTAGGAAAGGGAAATGATGAGCATTCCCATATTTGAAGTATATAACTTGGGAAGTGGTGGACAATACAAATAGTTTTTGTCATACTCCCTTTGGAAATTACTTGTGAGGAGTTTTATTTAGGCAGTCTTTGTTTTCTATATGACAAAAAGACACAGACACTATTCAAGGGAAGGAATAAACTTAACAAAGTTAACCAGTGGTTTATTGACTTCTCTCCACCTCCCTAATATAAAGCATTGCATCTTTCTGTCCACTACCTACAATATTCCACCTCAGGGTTGAATATGCATTTCTAAGAAAGACATCATCAGCACAGAGGAATCCCAAAGGAATTTGAGACTTCTTCTCAACAGGTGATGAGTTTAAGAAAGAGGCAGACAAAAAGCTAGGCATCTTCCAAAGCCAAAATGTATTTTTAAATTGAAGGCTGCCCTCTGGAAAAATTTAAAATAGCTCTCTGTCTGAAGAGAGGTTTATGATTAACAGATATATTATTTGTACTTTCTTCTGGGTCCTGTTAATTCCCACGTTGGGATCTTCAAATTTTCCACTGTGTACTTTTTGTCTGGAGAAAACCTTGGACTAGAGATAAGAGCATATCCAAAAATGTATTTCTAGCAGCTCCTGCTTCCAGTCAACCTGTCTGGGCTTGAGGCTGAATCAAGACCATGAAGGGCCTGCTGTTTCTCGCCTTTGTTGGGGTGGCTGGTGAGTAGATTTTTTACTTGTATTTCTGCAATTGAGAAGGAAACTCACTTTCTGAGCAAAATGGCAAGGTAGCCTGTTGGGGGAAAGCCACATCTGGTTTCAGCTTGCAGAGGTTTTAAGGCAGTGTCCTGCAACTTCTGTCTTCTCTTTGTTATTGCTTGTGTCAAAACATGGGGAATGAGCACCTTCATAGGGATTCCGGACCCAGCACCAGAGGAATGTGTCCCTAGCTCAAGAAAAAGACTCCCTCACTCAAGAAACACACCAGTTCTGGCCTGGGAAGTCCTACTCCAGGTGTAAAGTTTTGGACTCTAGGCAGGTGCTTGCTCCAAGGAAATGGCACTGCGGACTTATTTTGTACTTTAGTGTTCAGTCCACTATTGACCATTTCTGCAGACAGGATCCTGGGGAAGACACACCTTTCATCCGATCCATCAAGCAAATTTCTATGTTGTTCTCTTCACTCAGGGGGTAGCTGGACATGCTTTAGTTGTGGACTTGTGAGACCCCAGACTAAGCCTGATCACTGTATTGGAGGGTACAGCAAGTGAATGTCCACTGGACTTGCTCACCACTGCTACCCTGAGTTTTATGGGAGTGCAACCTACAAGCGGGGTGCACAAGGTACCTTAGGCCAGTGTTGACACATATCACTTCTTATCTCCCAGTTGCCTTCCCCACCATCGCTGAGGACGATGATGACAAGATTGTGGGAGGCTACACCTGTGCGGAGCAGTCTGTTCCCTATCAGGTGTCCCTGAATTCCGGATATCACTTCTGTGGAGGTTCCCTCATCAGCAGCCAGTGGGTCCTGTCAGCTGCTCACTGCTACAAATCGTGAGTGCAAAAATTTGCATTCTTCTACAGCCGACTTCTGTCTTCCAGCTCACTTCTAGCAGGAATTCAGAGTTACGAGATACAAAAAGGGAAGTGCCCCTGTTCTGACCTGAGACAGCCAAGGGATGGGTGGCTCGTTCAGGAAGGGTGCCTGAGACACCCGAAGGGGTTTCTTGCTTCTGCAAATGTTTCTGTGAATGCAGAGCACTTTCTGAAATGACAATGGAATAATAGAGAAATGAATTATGGACTATGATTTCTCGTCAATTGCATGAATCCAGCTAAAGTATGGGCACTGCAGAGCAGGAAGAGGAATGAGGTCAGGGTGAGGGAGGTTTGCCTTTTTGCAGAATGTTTGTATAATTTGCTGCAATATAGTCATCTGCCATGTATATATAACCCTGCAGAAATCCAGCACCCCTCCTGGGAGTGGGTAAGGATCTCAGTGTGGATCCCCAGGGCTTATGCAGGACAAGAAAGGTGACCTGCCCAAAAGAGCTGCTGGGGCAGCGGTGTTGAAGCAAGTGCATAAAGTGACAGGGAGGTTTCTCTGAAGCTGTCCAAGGGTAGCAGTAAAGTGCATGCCGTGCCTTCTCTTTTGCAGTCGCATCCAAGTGCAGCTCGGGAAGCATAACCTGGCCCTGACAGAATCCACACAGCAGTTTATTAACTCGGCTAAAGTCATCCGCCACTCTGGCTACAGCTCCTATACCCTGGACAATGACATCATGCTCATCAAGCTTGCCACCCCAGCCCAGCTCAACAAATCTGTCCAAACAGTTGCTCTGCCGACCAGCTGTGTGGCCACCGGCACCACTTGCCTGATCTCCGGCTGGGGCAACACACTCAGCAATGGCAGTGAGTACTCTGTGGGAATCTACAGCCCTCTGGGGGCGTGGGAGGCTCTCTAAGACCTCACCAGTACCTCCAAACAGGGCAGGGTAAGGCACAGAGAAGTGCTTTTGGAGTGATGAGTCCGGGAAGAACAGTAACCGTTTGACTGCAGTAATGGCAAGCCTTTGCGAGGTCCTTCCTCTCATTCTGTGTTATGAACATGGGATCACTGAAGCCACCCATGCACTCTTTACCAGCATGTTCACAGGGTCACTAATTTTGTGGTCTGGTGCTCTCAGCTGTGCAGTGCCAAGCACTAGCAATGTAACTATTTTGAGTAGAGCTGTGAGTTCTCTGAGAACGAGGGCAAAGTCTGGGATTGTGGATCTGCAGTTCCTACTTGATGCTTCCTCTCTCTTATACAAGTGGGTAGTGACTTTTATCTAATCCACTGATGACATCTAAACCCACACCAGAGGAGAGGATATCTGTCCTGAGGCTAAGGCTGCTTCCAACATATGTGTCATAAGGGTGGCTCTCTAGGTACCAGAGATGATACCAGATGATTCTGTAGGTACCAGAGAAATGAAGGTGGCCGGAGTGTAGAATGGTGGGCCCCTGGGTAGATTCTATTCCATCTAAAGAGAAGGAATCCATGGTGTGGTTACTGTCCAGATGAAGGAGGACAACTGCTAGAATAGGATGGCCAGTGACTGTTAGCCAGTGATATTAAAGGGCCATGACAGAATCTCAGTGATGTCATCAACCATCTCTCCCTGTTTTCCTGTAGATTCGTATCCAGACAAACTGCAGTGCCTGAAGGCTCCTGTGCTCTCCGCCACTGACTGCAAGAACGCCTACCCTGGTCAGATTACAAACAACATGATGTGTGTAGGATTCCTGGAGGGAGGAAAGGATTCTTGCCAGGTAAATCCTCTGCCTCTCTGGTCCCATTTGCTTCTGTCCTGCCTGTTCCCAGCCAAAGAGGCCTTCATGTCACACAATCAGCTTTACTCACTGCCCTGGCACATCTGAATTTCTGAATGACAGCAGAGGCTTAGGGCACACATATCCGAAGCATCTGACAAGGACCGCATCCAGCAAAACCAGGCAGCCTCTTCATCCTTAGCTGTGGTGCCCTTGGAGCTAAAGTCAGGCATGGTAGCATCAGGGGGAGAGTGCTAATCAGAAATGACCTTTGTAGAACTTCTGTGTAGAGTAAGCCTGACAGAGGTTCCTTAACTGTCAGGGATTTCCGGGATCTCTGGCTCATTGCTCAAGCTGATGCCATTTGCTGACTGTCCATGTCCTTTGTGTGCACAGGGAGATTCTGGCGGTCCCGTGGTCTGCAACGGACAGCTGCAGGGCATTGTGTCCTGGGGCATTGGATGTGCCTACAAAGGCTACCCCGGAGTTTACACCAAGGTTTGCAATTACGTCTCCTGGATCCAATCCACTATTTCTGCCAACTGAGACACTCTCACTCCATGTGACCTGCTTTTTCTCATCATCCTTTCCTCTCTTTTGGGTCTGGACATACAAACACTATGAACAATTAATAAAGACTTTGAGGCACCCCTACTTTGTGCAGTGTTTCTCTGGGAACTTCCCTAGGCTGTGATCAGGAGGACAGAGGCAGTGAACGTCACTCTGGGGACAGCAGTGAATAGCTATAGTGCCTGTCAAGAGGCAGGATCATGGAACACTTTGCAGACTATCTACAGCAGTCTTTCATTCAGTCACTTACTTGCAGGCATTTCCGGATCAGAACATCTTTTCTGTCCTCTTGAAAAGTACAAGCAAGTGCCCATATTCCCACAGCTCTTGAAGTCATTCTGAAATTCATCCTCCAACTCTACCTTTTCCCCTCCTTGCACTGAAAACACAAAGAGCTGCAGCATGGCATCCTTTCTTGGAGCCTGCTTATCCCATGGCAGGGAGGACTGGAAGAGGGAAGAGGGTGGTGTTTTGCAAGGGGGTCAGCAGGAGGCAGGGCATTGAAGCAGAGGCTTTGGATCTCTGGTGTGGAAGAGGTGGTCCTTGCCATGAGACTGGTGGAGTTGTCTTGTTCTGTGCTTGCAGAGCTCAGAATGAGGCTATTGCCATCCCAAATCCCAAGAAGGAAAGTAGTTCAGGAGAGAGAAAGGTGGGAAGTGAGAAGGGAAAGTAGGACCTCTGTAAGAGGGAGGGATTTAAGATCAGGAGGGAAGACGGAACACATGTCAGAAAGGGAGGAAGGCAAGGAAAAAGGCAACGAGAAGGAAGGAAAAAAGGGAGAAATCTAGGAAAGAAGGAAAACTAAAAGCAAGACAAGAAAGGAAGACTGCCAGAGGGCAGGAAGAAAGGCTCAGAGAGTGATGCCATGAGGATCTGCTGCAGCTTGGGGCTCTTTGCCTACAGTCCTGTGCTCCGTCCCCACACCCTGTGAAGACTTGGTCTACATCACATACATCAGAGTGTTCAGGTCACAGGGTTGTGGTGTGACTTGGGGACCCTGGTTCACAGCAGCATGTGCATTCCCTGGACATCAGTGGGACCAAGGGACCAGTGGGCCTGTCCTTCCAGCTGGGGAGAAGGAAAAGGCTGTGTGAACTCTTCCTCATTGTGCTTCCCTTGGAGTTTGTGTAGCAGACTGAAAGGAAGAAGAAATGGGTGAGGATGAAGGAAATAGGAGAGGAACAGGAGTGAGAGGAGAGAGAAGAAAGTTTGGGAGGACAGACAGAAACACATTCAAGGAAAAGCATGAGAAGCAGCCTGTGAAGGGCGGAGAAATGAGATGAGGCAGAGAGTACAAGAAGAAAGGAGAGTTAAAAAGTGATTCCGAGATTGGAAGGAATAAGAAAGAAGTTAGAGACCATGCAGAAGACAGAGTGACAATACCACCCCTTTCCTAAAGAGCTGGAGGATACATGAAGAAATTGTGCACTGGTGGCACATCCCTGTTTGCATGCAAAGGTTTGTGCTATGTTT